AAGTTCTGAGTACTTCTACTTTTACTCAAGTACAAGATCTGAGTACTTCTACTTTTACTCAAGTACAAGATCTGAGTACTTCTACTTTTACTCCTTTTTCACCTGAGTACTCACCTGAGTACTTCTACTTTTACTAAGTACAAGATCTGAGTACTTCTACTTTTACTAAGTACAAGACTGAGTACTCTACTTTTACTCAAGTACAAGATCTGAGTACTTCTACTTTTACTCAAGAACAAGATCTGAGTACTTCTACTTTTACTCAAGTACAAGATCTGAGTACTTCTACTTTTACTACAAGATCTGAGTACTTCTACTTTTACTGAAGTACAAGACCTGAGTACTTCTACTTTTACTCAAGTACAAGATCTGAGTACTTCTACTTTTACTACAAGATCTGAGTACTTCTACTTTTACTCAAGTACAAGATCTGAGTACTTCTCTTACTTCACTTTTACTCAAGTACAAGATCTGAGTACTTCTACTTTTACTCAAGTACAAGATCTGAGTACTTCTACTTTTACTCAAGTACAAGATCTGAGTACTTCTACTTTTACTCAAGTACAAGATCTGAGTACTTCTACTTTTACTCAAGTACAAGATCTGAGTACTTCTACTTTTACTCAAGATCTGAGAACCGTTAATTTCTGCCTTTACCTTATTGCTATCCAGTCACATTGAGATGCATGCAGGAACTGAACACTCTGAGTTGGACTTAGTAGTCTCACCATTGAAGGTGCTGGTCTGGGGGATGTCGAGGAGATTGGTGTGATCGTTATGCTGCTCGTCATCTTGCTCTGAATCGTCTTCCCGACCAATGATTGTCGTGGTGAGCGCAGCACGGTTCCTGTTGACACTTCCTTACTGCTTTCTGAAGATCTGAGCGTCAAAACTGAACTGCTGCATCCCTCCGAAGGCCTCTTGTACTGCGGACCCAGGTGGATGTGGATCATGTTGTCCTCCGTGGTGATGATGCTGCTGTTGGCGTTGTATTTCCTGAAAGGTAACTTGTCTGGTGTCATTTTTATCATCGTGGGTCGGCTTGCGTCCTTTGGCTCAGGTGCAGCACATGTTTCAGCCACAGGGATGGAGTTAACCCTAATAAAGGACACTGGCGACTTAAGTCTTTCCAAAGGACTGCAAGCATTGGACCTTTCTGGACTTTTGGCACTGGACATGGCCGTGATCGTGACGGGAGATTTGGTTCGATCGAAGCCTCCCAAAGCATCGCAGTCTTTGCTCTTCGAAGCCATTGTCATTGGCGTCTTTGGGACGATTGTAATGCGAGGTTTCTGGTTTCCGAGAGTTGGGATGATGGTGGTGCTGGAGAAGAAATCCTCCGCCCGGGGACTGGTTATCTCCAAGGTGGCGGTGCTGTTCAGGTGATCCGGGGTAACTCGAATGTGCAATGGTTGACACGGCCTTCTCGTCTCCGGCGGATTGATCAAGGACGCCCGATTCATCTTGTCAGTCAGAGTCTGAGTGAGACTAATAGCCGCTTTCTTTTTCATCCACGGTATCCAGGATTTTTTGTCCGTCAGATCTGCGGACGCTGGAGGGAATCGCTCAAGAACTGCCGGCTTTTTTAGACCCTGTTGTCTGAGGTTGTTCATAAGGTGGTTTTCCTCGAGGACTGATTTACGGATGAATCCCGCGGCTGTGTCGTCCTCTGCTTGTTCGCCAATCATCTCATCTGTTTGTACTGCGGTGGAGGTCACCGGGACATTCACCATCCTCTTCCCGTTCATACTAGGTCTCAAGGCTCGACTATAGCGCTTCGTGGCTTCCAGCTCGTTGGCGAGGTTTGCAAAATCGTAGCTCATGCTCCGCTTCTTCTCTTCCTCCTCCATGAACCTCTGCTGCAGGACAGAATAGTCCACCTGCAGCTGAGAGAGCTGGTCCTCCTTGTTCATCAGCTCGTGGATTTTCTCCTTCAAAGCCCGGACGTCAGTTTGCAGCTCTCTGGTTTTAGCTTCCTCCGACTTGCAGCGGATTCTCAGCTCAGCCTCGGGACTTGTGGCCTCTCCTTTCTCGATGGCCTTGTTCCTGGCGATCTGACTTTTCATTTCTTCCAGAATCTTTGAAAGAGTGTTGGCTTTGTCCTGCTCCGTTCTGAACTTCTTCTCCAGTAGATCGTACTCGTCCTCCGTCTTCATCAAATCCCCTTCGACCACTTCAAGTTGTTTCAGCCTGCTTTTAAGTCTTTCAATTTCTATCGTGAGCTCTTTGACTTTGTTGTCTTCGTCTGGGTTTCTCTTGTAATCCTTGTTGAACGACTTCTCCTCGAGTCCGTCCATTCTTATTTTCATACCACCAAGTTTGGTATTCATCTGCTTGCACTTTTCCTCTTCACTTGCGAGTTGAGTCTTCAACTCGTGTTTCTCTTTAACGAGCGTCGACACCTTGACCTCCATTTCTGATTTGAATCTAAGAAGTGTCTTGCTCTCCTCGATCAGCTTCTCTGTGACCTCTGTAACTTTGCCTTGCTCTGCTTTAAACATCTTGCTTAAATCCTCACTTTTTTGTTCTTCTTGTTTAAGTCTCTCCGCCATATTCTTCCTGTCATCCACCAGAATCACTGCGAAGGACTTCAACTTCATCAGATCTTCTTTTAAGAGTGTCTCTGCCTTTTCAAACTTCGTCTCCGATCCCTCCAGTTCCTTCAAGCGAGTTTTCACCGCCTCCAGCTCCCCGGCCAGATCCTTCACCACACGTTTCTCTTTCTCCAGGATTGCATGAAGCTGAGCGCACTCTGTGTTGCTTTTACAGAAAGCCCCCTCCAGTTTCTCCAGTTCAACCATCCTTTTCTGCAGTTTCTCCACCTCCAGCCTCAGCTCCTTGCTATGGTTCTCCTCTCCTTGCAGCTTCTTCCTTAGCTCCCTGCACTGAGTCTCTGTTTTGGTTATCTCCTCATCCTTGCCCTCCATCTCCAGAACTTTCTTCCGCAGATTCTCCAGTTCGGTCATGAGAGACGAATCCCCGCATTCCCCTTTGCTGATCTTCTCCCTCAGCTCCTGCAGGTCTTCTTCGGATTTCTGCAGCAACGTATTCCTCTCCTCTAACTCTTCGATCTTGTGCGCCAACCCGGCCATCTTCAATCTGAGCTGCCGGCTTTGGGACTCTTCGTTTGCCAGTTTTGCCGTCATTTCCTCGTGTTCCTGTGCACATTTAGCCGCTCTGTGCTCCAGCTCGTTCTCTAGGTTGAGGAGTTTCTGTCCGTCTTCTTTGGCAGTTTCGCTGACGGCCGATAGACGCTGCTCTTTCTCCTGAAGCTTCTGAACGAACTCCTGGATCTTCTGGGTCTGTTGGTCGATTTGCTCGATGTGCAGCTGCCTCTCGTCCACCAACATCAGGGCGAAAGACTTGAGTTTCACCAGCTCCGCTCGAATTTTCTCCAGCCGCCGGTTGTGATCCGTGTCCTTACGAGCCTGATAGCCCTTCTCCTGCTCCAACAGCCTTTTGAGTCTATGAAACACACAAAGGAAAATACAACATGTTGATTAGGGTTAACACCGAGCAGATGACACCTGAACAGCCTTTTGAGTCTAGGAAACACACAAAGGAAAACATGTTAGTTAATGTTAATTTAATAAAACACTTGCGCTGCTAATGGCTAGCAGCTTCAACACATTGTACGTGATGGGACATCTCTAAGTGGTGCTACTATTTGAGGTCAATAAGTAGAGTGATGAGCCGTGCAATTAACGATTAATCGGTTAACTGTAAAATGTCTGAAAATAGTAGAACATTTCTCAAAGTCTAAAGTGAGCTGTGACATGAGAGTAGGTATTACAGTACGGCCTTTTTGTAAAGTTATTCAGCACTTTTTATAATTGTTAACATCCAAATGTAACACTCGTGCTTCTATTGGCTAGCGCCTGCAACAAATTGCATGTGATTAGGCTAAGGGGTGGGACATCTCTAAAAGAGGTCGACCAATCACAACAGAGCCGGCCAGCTAACCAATCAGAGCAGACTGGGCTCTGGTTTCAGACAGAGGGTGAAAAGTGGTGCTGCAGCACAGACACATTGACAGTATGAGAACAATAAAGAGCTTTTTGAACATTAAAGCATGAAGACATGTAGAGACACTACATACTGATATACACCTGAACATCAGCAGGAGAGGACTCTTTAAAGTAGAGACACTACATACTGATATACACCTGAACATCAGCAGGAGAGGACTCTTTAAAGTAGAGACACTACATACTGATATACACCTGAACATCAGCAAACAGTTCTTTTGCATTGGAAATCGTTTTTAATGGTCTTGACTTTAACTTTTAACTTTTTTATGACATATTTTTCTTGTAAAATATGTGTAAAGTAACTAAAGCTGTCAGAAACATGTTATATGTTAGTAAAAATCATTTGTTTATGAGAGTAGAAGTACAGAGTTGCATGACATTTAAACAGTGCAGTAGTTGCATAAGTGCAAATTCTTCAAAACTGTTGCAAACAAAGTGCAAAAGGTTCAGCGTCCTGTAGATGTTTAACTAATCCCAGCGGGAGTCCTTAGCACGTGGCTCGCATCAGGTTTCTGCACAACAAGTGTTTCTGTTCCCGACTAAACTTCTTCCCCCTGTGAAACAAATCTGTTAAACTTACCGAGCGGTGTTGAAGCAGAGCAGGTTGATCCATATCTGTTTTTAAAGCCAAAGCAGGAGGTAATCTGCTTCCTCTGAGACTCTCACAGTCAGAGAGGAGGGAGCTAAAGCCATCTCACACAAAAAGGTGGATGTGCTAAACAGGAGCTTGTTCCTGCTGGTGATGTAATCCAAACCCTCCATATATGGACTAAGAGACCTTGTTTGGACACTGAGGGGGAAGAGGAGCAGGTTCTTCCTCTTTCTCACTTTCACTCAGGGTCAACGGCATAAAACATGAAGCAAACTACAAAAATACAGACTGGTCAAATTTGAGATTTCTTGGCTCTGCTCACATCACAGCCTTTCAGACGAGTAGAAAACATCCAACATACCAGTGATAGAAGGTAGATAAGTACATTTACCTTTTGATGTGTTTCGATTGATTTTTTTCTTTCTCAGACTGATATTCTGAACAATGTGTGCTGTTGTATTAGCTGTAAAGTGTCTCTACTGTAGGCTTTGTATTATATGTACAGCACTTTGGCTCCACCAAAAATCGTTTATAAATGTGCTATATAAATAAAACTTGATTTGATT